TGCCGTGTCCAGTCCCCAGCTCACAGGATGGCCAAATGTCCTATTTTATAGAGGATAGCCCTCTATTTGAAAGCATCCACTATTTGAAGGACTGTCAAGTCCAGCTGAACAACAAAGAACCATAAGAAGAGAGAGAAGGGACCTTAAGGTTGCCCACTAACAGTCACCAGCTGGGCAAGCAGCCTGGGCAGTCAGATCTGACTATATTTGAACCTCTAGTAGCCATTAATGGAGTTATGGGAAAGTATTAGTGAATGCTTATAAGAAAAGCTGTGTAAAGCGACCCAAGTTTTTAGTTTAGTTTTATATTGACACAAATTATTACCTAAGGTGATTTTAAAAAATAAAATAAGAGAAGAATGAAGCAATAGGTTTTGAGGAAAGTTATAATGGAGTTCCGGAGTTGGGGGAGAATGTTCCCCTCTGCTGCTTGCTTAACTACTAAGCCATGTTAATTTATATGTGTATTCTTTCTCAGCAAGGCATGAAACTCAGCAACCAAAGAATAGATTATAACTTGCCCTCGTTCAGGCATGTGGCTCAGCCTTTTCTCCCTCCCTCTTGCTCTCTCCCCTTTTCACAAGCTCTGCTTCTTTTTTTCTAGTTAATACAAGCAAACAAACTAGTCCCATTTCCAAGCATTTCCAAGTAATTAAACCAAATTAAAACCATTAAACTCTTTCTTTACTGACAACTTCATTATTAACAGCTAACCGCAAAGATGAGATTTAACTTGGAAGGCCCTCAATTGCATACTAATCTGCCTTTCACCTCTGGCTGACACCTCCAAAAGATAACCCCCCCCCCTTCCCCTTTAGAATAGAAGTCTGACAAATACACTTAATTAATGCTTTCTTCCTGGTGGAAAAGTCATTATTTGTTCACTGCATAAGCAAGTACTTGGCAGGAGCTTAGGAAGTCTGATAGTTTCTATAAAAGAGGAGTTTGTGTATGTGGTGGGGGGGGGAGGAGAGATTTTGTGCAGTGTGCTCCTTGTTTTTGAAAAAGCAAAACGTAGATAGAGATGTAGAAACACATTACGCAAACACTTGGAATGTCAGTTGAGTTGGCACATAGGTAAAATGGAAGGGCACTCATTCTCTGCCCTTTCACTAATGGCATGCAAGTCTTAACAGTTTACCAGTTAAGACGTAAGTCTGGGACTTTGAGTAATTTGGAACCAGAAACTGAAGTAAGAAAGAGTGACTTGCGCTTGAGAGATTGCCAAAGATAAGTTGGTCTCCAACTTCCCTTACATTTTCAGCAACAGCTACAGGAGATGAGGGGAACTGAATGCAGAGGACCTGCCAAGTGGATCAGGAGTAGCTGCAGGTGGTTAAAAAAAATGTAATGTGTGGCTTAGTGCACACTTCAAAAACAAGTATAAGCAAATGTTTGTTTTTTTAATGAAAGTAAACTAAAAGCCACGGCATCAGAGGCTGAACTCTGTATTTTTGGAAATACAGGGGCATCTACCCCAGAAGCTTCACACTCAAGCTCTCCCCATATAAATAATTGGACGTTAAAGTCCAGCAATGTGAAACATGTACCCTGACAAATTCATATACAGTGGTACCTCAGGTTACAGACGCTTCAGGTTACAGACTCCGCTAACCCAGAAATAGTACCTCGGGTTAAGAACTTTGCTTCAGGATGAGAAGGGTCTTAACCCGAGGTACCACTGTACAAAACGCATGCGTTCTTCAGTTCACATGTTCTTCAGTTCACACACAGGCACTTATTTCATAGAGACAGACATAAGAAATTTCCTCTTTCTTTGTATGAGGAAAGTGTATGGCTACAACCACCCTGTGGTACAGCCGATGTCCTTTTCCCCTAAGATAAAAGCCAGGGGAACTTGAGAGATATTGTCATTCAAGCTAGCATTGTGTATGCATACATGTACACAACACTTTACAGAAGTCGAAGTGTAAGAAGAAACCTGTGAATGCAAGCGCCTCAAACTAATAAGAATAGCAGCCGCCAATATGGTGCCCTCTATATATTGCTGGACTCTTCATTCCCACCAGGCCTAGCTAACATGTCCAATGGCTGGAGATGATGGTAGCTGGATTCCAGCAAAATATTGGCCCACTCCTGAATAAGAGTAATAACCAGTGCCAAAATATTGGCACGCCTGGTGCTTTTAGTCGGGCAGAAGCCTGCCAATTCTGTTCCTCCCACAAACATGGCCTGCACACCCATCCAAAGATTAGCATTTGAGACAGATTTGCAATGTGCTTGCTGGATGTTGGAGCAACTCCATCTCAACTGTCAGTTGGGAGAGGCTGTGGCTCAGAGGTAGGGTAGTTGCTTTGCTTTAACCAAGGTTGGCTTGATTTCAGATTATTATTTTTTTCAGTTAAAAGGCTCTTGAGCTGCATACCTACGAAAAGTCTGTGTTTGAGGCCCTGGAGAGTCACTGCTAGTCAAAGTAGACAATACTGAGCTAGATGGACCAGTGATAAGGCTCGGAGTATGGCAGGTTTGTGCATTCAGTTGCTGAAAAGGAACACACAGATAAATTAGAAGGTTGGGTTAGAGCAGTGATTTTTCTAACAGTGTTGCAGGGACGTGTTTATCTGGGGCTCCCCAGTGAGAAGACCAGTAATAACAAGATTTTTTTGAAAAGCCAATTGCCGTTAGCAAAGTGTAACCACAGGAAGGTGCTGAGTGTTGTTCTAGGATCCACCCTAGACTCAGAGAAGCCTAGAACACACAGAAGAGGCCTGCAGGATCAGTTTGATGATGCATCAAGTCCAGCATCCTTTTCCCTTCAGTCACCAAATAACTGCCCCTAGAAAGCCCACAAGCAGGGCATGAAGGCAATAGTCTTCCCATAATCCTTTGCAAGATGCATGCAGCAGTTTCATGGTAGACAAGGGGAGGGCGGGGTTCGTCACTAAACTATTCAATACAGAAAGCAGTTGCTTGATATAGAAACTTTAGAAGCCAATGGAATTGGGAAAGTGAAAATCAACAGGAGGAGGAGTTTGGATTTGATATCCCGCTTTATCACTACCCTAAGGAGTCTCAAAGCGGCTAACAATCTCCTTTCCCTTCCTCCCACACAACAAACACTCTGTAAGGTGAGTGGGGCTGAGAGACTTCAAAGAAGTGTGACTGGCCCAAGGTCACCCAGCAGCTGCATGTGGAGGAGCAGAGACGCGAACCCGGTTCACCAGATCCACTGCTCTTAACCACTCTTAAAGAGTGTTTTCCCTTCCTCAATACCTATTGGGTTTAGATGTGAAGACATGAAAGAGGGATTAAAAAAACACACTTTAGGATGATAAGCTGGGTGGTGGTGCCATACCTGTGAGCCTCTGTCAGCTAGAGAGAAGTAATTCTGCCTGTTCCTTTCCCTCCACAAGCTGATTCACATAGTCGCCATTTCTTGACTTTTACGTTTCACATTGGTGTTTATAAAGCTACTGTGGAACGATAGGAAGGAACAGCTTTCCCTAACCAGGTACATCCTAGCTATTTTGGAATGATGAGAATTTTAGCTCAATGCATTTGGAGGGCATGAGGTTGGAGCTAGCAGGATGGAGAACTGGGCGTTGATCTGGGAGAGACCGTGGTTCAGGTCCCTGGGGGTCCATTGGGTGGCCTTGGGCAATAATATTTATATACTTCCCTTCCAAGAAGATCTTGAGTGGCATTTCAGCATTATGGCAACCCTAAGTTATAGACTAGGCTGAGATTAAATGCCACTTGCCCAAGGTCTTGTGAGCTTCAGAGCTGAAAAGGGATTTGCATGCTTGTTTCCCTTATCTGAGCTGAATGATTTACCATACCGGTGTAGCATCATCTTCATCTTACATCCTTCCTCTGGAAAATGAGAATAATAATGGACTTAGGGAATGTTATGGGAATGAATACACCAGAGGTTGCACAACATGTTACATAATTGGTGGTAGCAGCCACAGTATTTAACTTATGGGTGTTCTAGCACATATCCACTTAAGTTTCATCCTGCTTCAATCTACCTTGGGTAGATGTACTGTTTTGCCGTCGGAACATGCATTGGAACGCTTTCAAGAGTTGATGCAATGCTTTGTTCCCACAGTTGGCCTGACCAATCAGGGCCAAATATTCAGTGTTCTATAAATGTGCCACCTCTAAAGTGGCTAGTGGAACTTAGCCAACTACTGACATCGTGTTCCACATTTCCCAGTCCCCACTCCACATCATTGACTGCCATCCTCAGAGGGTGGGGAAAACACCAAGCAGCAGGAAGTTTGTAGGCTCTACTAGCCATTACAGAAGGGAGGATGGAGTTAAACATAAATGCTTTCGGCACAAGATGTGTCTTTTTATTGGAACATGTTGTTTGGCTCTCAGTTGCAGCAGTGAGAAAAAGATGGTCCAATCTGTCATAAAAAAGCTGCCTTATTCTGAGAAGTTGGTCCACCTAGCTGTCAGGCTTCGGAGAAAAGGCTTCCTCCCTCCCTTTGGCCATGGATAAGCAGAACAAAGCGAAAATAGTCTCTTACCAGTTAAAGATAATTTTGATGTTCACAGCGAAAGAACAAAGACTCTATTCTCGGAGGAAAGGTGCTGCCAATTAAGGTTTCCACCCACTTCCCCCCGAGCCACCCCTGTCACTTCCTTTGTCTGGCAATCTGATCTCGCAACCATTGGACCTTCTGTGTAGCTACCTTATCTGCTCTCCATGATCTTAGACTGATCGGTTGGACACTTTCCAGCAAAAGGGAGTCTGCTAATTCTCTCCCTCCCTGTTCTTCTTCTCCTAGCTGTTCCCCACTCAGTTCTGCACAGCTGTTGTCTTTTGAGCTATGTCTCTCTGCAAACCACTGCTCCAAATCTATACCGCTCCACTGCTCCTGGGCAGCTTCAGGATCCTGATCAGGAACAGGGGGAGGGGAGGCCCCCCCATTCCTCATCAGAGTGGCTTTCCTCAGCCTGGACACTAGCTAAGCACTGTCTTCACTGATTAGCACCGGTTCTCTAGGGTTTCAGACAAGGTTCTCTTCCAGCTCTACCTGGACATATGGATGATTGAACCCAGGACCTTCTGGATGCAGAGCAGATGTTCTACCACTGAGCTATAACCCTTCCCCATAGCCCTGTCAGAAAGATGAGACCAAACATGGATGCTAAGCCAAGTTTAGCTTGCTTGGTGGAGTCTTCAGTGTGTTGGGATTCTGCACTTACACACACACACACACACACACACACACACACACACAGTTGCCCCGATTCTGCACCTGGGTGATCAAGTTTTGATTGGCATGCATATATTGAGTTTTAATTTAAGCCACTAATTACGACTTACAGAACGTCCTCCTCCCTCTTACACTTGATATAGGAAAATTCCCATGTAAATATATTTATTCAGTCTGAGAAAGGTTATGAAAGAAAATCAAACTAAATTCAATAGAGACGACTTAAAACAAATTTACAAGAACATTTTGATAGAAGTGCCTGTGGTGATGTAATAAATTATAAAGAAATGGTGTGTTGGGACCAAAGAATAGCTGGAAAAGCAAAAGGAAATTAAAATAAAAAGCTCCCCAGTGCAGGTCCGGTATGAAGGTAATGAAAAAGAAGCTTAAAAGGCAAACTAACAATAGATGTAATGATATGAAGTCTTGGGTTTAAGAGGGGAGAAGTAAGAAAACTTTTTTTTTTTTTGGTGAGTTGTTTCCTTAGTCTAAAGAAGAATTTGGACTTTCCTTGTAGGATTTGCTCCATAGTTGAAAGCTATTTAGCAAGCCCAGTTTTTCTTTAAATAAAAACGTTGCTAGCCCTCAAGACCATGGGAAGAAGTTGGTAAACATGATGGGAGAAATGCTAAAGAATAATCCGTAACCTCTTGACCAGCTTTCCTGTTCTTTTGTGGACATTCATGAGGTCTAAAACATGAAATGTGCCACCACCTGCTTATTTTCATACCGTCATTAGGGACACCTTAATGTCCCTGCCAACCTAGCAGTTCGAAAGCATGTCAAAGTGCAAGTAGATAAATAGGTACCACTCCGGTGGGAAGGTAAACGGTGTTTCCATGCACTGCTGTGGTTCGCCAGAAGCGGCTTCGTCATGCTGGCCACATGACCCAGAAGCTGTACGCCAGCTCCCTCGGCCAATAAAACGAGATGAGCGCCGCAACCCCAGAGTTGGTCACAACTGGACCTAATGGTCAAGGGTCCCTTTACCTTTACCTAATGTCGAATAGGATGCCTTAACCTCAAGAAAACAAAAACACAAGCCTAGCAGAATTAGGGAAAATAATTTAACAAAAACTTGGGTAGCCACATGGGCAAAGCAAGCGTAGGTAGGCAGAGTACCAAAGTTATGAGAAAAGTTGAGAGTACCGTATTTTTTGCCCCATAGGACGCACCGGCCCATAGGACGCACCTAGTTTTTTGGGCTTCAGGTGTAGAGGCAGCTCTCTGCAAGCCGTGGGAGGGCTCCCGCGCCTTGCGCAGAGCTACCCGAAGCCCGGGCGCGACTGCTCAGCGCGCCCGGGCTTCGGGATAGAGGCAGCTCTCCGCAAGCCGTGGGAGCCCGGCGGGAACTCCCGCGGGCTCCCAAGGCTTGCAGATAGCTTCCTGAAGCCTGGAGAGCGAGAGGGGTCGGTCCAGGCTTCAGCGAAAGCCTGCATTCACCCCATAGGACGCACACACATTTCCCCTTCATTTTTGGAGGGGGAAAAGTGCGTCCTATGGGGCAAAAAATACGGTACTTCAGGATATCGGAGTTCAACTATATCTTATTCAATTATATAATTTCACTAGCAAAAGCCAGGATTCCCTCTAGTGCAACAGGAAACTTGGGGCTGTGGGTTTGAGCCCCACGTTGGGCAAGAGATTCCTGCATTGCAAGGGAGGGGGAACCTCAGAACAGATGTGGAGAGAGTTGAGAGGGGGAGAAGGTTCTGCTATGCAAGGAAAATCCTTGCAACTGACAGATCCTCAGCCGTAGCACTGTGTTGAATACAACCTCTACTTGGCACAAAACGTCTAAAAATTGTAAGTGTGAACACTGAAAATATACTATTACTTTTCGCCAAAGGTTGAATATTGTGGGTAGAGTTTTCTCTTTAAAAAATTACCTAGTTCCAAGCATGTTTTCTGTTCAAGGCATTTTGAAGATGCTGCTGCCGCCTCCAAGGATACAAGGAATGAGCAAGTTAACTCATAATCGAACAGGCTGCTGAAATCTTCCAGCTGCAATAATTCTCCATGGAATATCTCTACCCCTTTAATAGAGGGGCACAAGACCCTTTAAATAAATTTTAATCTTGCATTCAGTAAAATGACATGGCCCTATAGTGGCAGGCTCAGCCCTTGTTTCATATACAGTTAATTCATAGAGCATGGGTAAGCAAACTAAGGCCCATGGGCCAGATCCGGCCCAATCACCTTCTCAATCCGGCCCGCAGACAGTCCGGGAATCAGCATGTTTTTACATGAGTAGAATGTGTCCTTTTATTTAAAATGCATCTCTGGGTTATTTGTGGGGCATAGGAATTTGTTCATTTCTTCCTCAAAATATAGTCTGGCCCCCCACAAGGTTTGAGGGACAGTGGACCCGGCCCCCTGCTGAAAAAGTTTGCTGACCCCTGTCATAGAGTATCTGCAGAGAGTCCCGCTGCATATGGCTGCATGCACTGAAGTGTCCCCATGTAGTCAGAGACTTTGTACACATCACTCGCTTAAAACGCAGCCAGGTCATTCTTTTTCTCCATTCTGATTGAAGCTGGTTTGGGGGAGAATGCATCAAAATGCAGCATTTTCCCAAGAAAAAAAACAGGATATATGTGGATTGTGGCTAACATCATGTGCAGGCTGCTTTTCAAACCAGTCAACAGAAATTCCACAGAGAGAGAGAGAGAAAGGACTATGCCCTCTATGGCTGATCAGATCAGATAAACTAATAAAATATTTAGGCATGGGGCTTCACAAGGTTTAGCTAACAAGCATCTAAATCTCTTTCTGTCCATTAACGCTGATACATTTCCCTTTTTGCCTCCAATGCAAGAATGAGAAGATGTGGTTGGTTCTCTTTTTATTTTTTTATAATTTTATTGAGATGTTTGAAATAATACATATATATTGTTTAAAATAACCTTCGTTAAAAAAACCAGAAGTCTTCCTATTAGGAATTATAGGAAGAGAAATACCAAAAAAATATATAAATATTTTCATGTATGCGACTATGGCTGCACGAATATTGATAGCCCAATGCTGGAAAGAGGACAAAATTCCCACAAAAAAAAGATTGGCAAATTAAGTTAATGGACTATGCAGAGATGGCCAAACTAACTGGTAGACTTAGAAATCAGGTTAACAAATTTAAAAATGAATGGGAAACTTTTATTGCATATATGACAAAGCATTGTGTACAAGTAAATACATCAGCAGGATTCTAAAAAACACTTGCAATACTATCATAATACAGTGATACCTCAGGTTAAGTACTTAATTCGTTCCGGAGGTCCGTTCTTAACCTGAAACTGTTCTTAACCTGAAGCACCACTTTATCTAATGGGGCCTCCTGCTGCTACTGCACCACCACTGCACAATTTCTGTTCTCATCTTGAAGCAAAGTTCTTAACCCGAGGTACTATTTTTGGGTTAGCGGAGTCTGTAACCTGAAGCGTATGTCACCTGAAGCGTATGTAACCCGAAGTACCACTGTAGATAAAAATAGATATGAATGGATGGAAATATGATTTGGACATGCACAATTTAACAATGAAATAATGGAACCATGGAGGGGGTAGAGGGGAGTCGGGGGATGAGAGAAATTTTATATTTTGGCTCTGTATTGAATACAAACATGCAGAATGATACAGTTGTTCAAATTTTTATTATTTTATTTCTTAATGTTTATTGTTATAAGATGTTTGTTATCATGAAAACCAATAAAAATATTAGAAAAAAGAATATATATAAAGGTAAAAGGACCCCTGACCATTAGGTCCAGTCGTGACCAACTCTGGGGTTGCGGCGCTCATCTCGCTTTATTGGCTGAGGGAGCCGGCGTACAGCTTCCGGGTCATGTGGCCAGCATGACTAAGCCGCTTTTGGCGAACCAGAGCAGTGCACGGAAATGCCGTTTACCTTCCCGCTGGAGTGGTACCTATTTATCTACTTGCACTTTGACTTGCTTTCGAACTGCTAGGTGTGTATATACCGTATTTTTCGCCCCATAGGTCGCACTGGCCCATAGGGCGCACCTAGTTTTTTTGGGGGGAAATAAAGAAAACAAATTTTATTTCCCCTCCCCCCCCCAGGTGCGGGGCTGGGGCGGGGGAAGTCGCGCAGCTCTCCCACGGCTTGCGGATAGCTTCCTGAAGCCTGGAGAGCGAGAGTGGTCGGTGCGCCCCGACCCCCCCCTCGCTCTCCAAGCTTCAGCAAAAGCCTGCATAGGACGCACAAACATTTCCCCTTCATTTTTGGAGGGGAAAAAGTGCGTCCTATAGGGCGAAAAATACGGTGTGTGTGTGTGTGTGTGTGTGTGTGTGTGTGTGTATACACACATATTCATAAACTGCTTGGAAAAGAGAAGAAGAAGAAGAAGAAGAAGAAGAAGAAGAAGAAGGAGAGTTTGGACTTGATATCCCGCCTTTCACTCCCCTTCAGGAGTCTCAAAGCGGCTAACAATCTCCTTTCCCTTCCTCCCCCACAACAAACACTCTGTGAGGTGAGTGGGGCTGAGAGACTTCAAAGAAGTGTGACTGGCCCAAGGTCACCCAGCAGCTGCATGTGGAGGAGCGGAGACACGAAACCGGTTCCCCAGATTACGAGACTACCGCTCTTAACCACTACACCACACTGGCTCACTTAGTAGTATTAGTACTGTCAAACAGTATGTAAATTTGGTTATCTCAAGTGAACAAATAAATTAAAAATGGCTATTGTGTTGTGGTTGGTGTTTTTTTTAAATGAAAAATTAAAATTATTTTTAAAAAGGAAGGTGGGACATGGCAGAAAGATGGGAGAGGGTGATATTGAGTGAGTGTCGACAAAGGAGAAGATGTGCTAAAACTAACAGCAGCTACAAGAGATTTCCCATACCTACTTTTACATCACTGTAGGCTCATGT